AACAACAACAACAACAAACACAACAAGATGGTTCAACAATATTATTAGATAGTGCTAAATTATCACTTTTACGTTCTTATGGTCAAATGTTAAGAAGAAGATTACACAAAAACCTACAAAAACATTTAATTATTCGTTTTCTCATTAAATATATCAATTAATTCAACATCTTTTTTTTTATTTATTAAACAAACAATTAAATTTATCAACAGATTTTATATTCAAATCAAATAAAATCAATGCATTTTTTATCGATTTTCATTTTTAATTAAATGAAGATTTGAGTTCGACATTTATATTTCACCTTATAAAAGACTAAAATATAATCAAGATTAATAATTGAAATCATTTTCTTAAATATATATTAAACGTTTGAGAAAAATCAAAATCTATCTACATATGAGAACGATCACACGTAATGACATTCGACTTATGCAAAAATTCTAAAAACAAAAGTTCTTTTGTAAGAAGTAGTAAATTTTATTCGGAATAATATCTCTAACTCAAGTGTCTTAGTATGATATAACATAAAATATGTTTTTGAAATTGAAAAATAAAAATAAAATTGAAATGTTGGAGAGAAAAAGGTGTTAGTGCAACGTTTATCGGATTAAAATATGAAACAAAAAATGAATGCTTTAATTATAGAAGGAGCCATATTATACAACAGCTCTTTTATTTCTCTAGATAAAATTATAGTTTTCCTTTTTTTTCTTCAATTCGGATAAATGTATATTCTTCACCGTACTTTATCAAGATATTTAATTAATGCTCGAAGTGAAGTACCATGAGGACATATAAATACTTTTTGACCGAGACGAATTTATGGTACATATTATCATGCTGATAAAATAATGCATGTACAATTGCATCTTTTAAACATTCACTTAATGGTTATAGATGTTTATCTATATTCTAGAAAGCATAAAACTTGTTTTCAAAGAACTTATTTGTTTCCTAAACTTAATATTTAGGATTGATTATTTCCTAGATTACAAAAGAAATATAGAACAGAATTAGTGAGGATCTCTGTCGACAAGATAGAGGTTCAAAATCAACAAATTATAACATAAAACTTGTTTCTGTCTCTTGCGGGTTTTTATTCCAGCAAATTTTATTCTCAATAGCTAGTGCTTGATTTTACTCAAGATACAAAAAAAATAACTAAAGTATTTCTATTCAGTTTTTTTAATATTCTTTTCTTAATTCTTTATTTTCTTAAGCCCTCCCCCCCTCAAAAAAAGTCAATTTTCATCAAATTTTTCGAAATTGAGATAACCGCATGGGAAGATAGCCCATCTTCAGATCTTTCGGAAACAATATGATTTTTAAGCCGGCACTCCCGTTTCGGACAAGATTTTTGATGATTTCCGTTAACGTCTTCTTGAAAAATATGCTTATTTCGAAATAAACGAAAAATGTTTTTCGTTTTGTCTCGATTTATGATTTTTTGATCTTAGTACAAGGATTTCTCAGTCCAGGCTCAGTAAATATATTTAAATTTTTTTTGTTTGAAAGAGCGCGTCGAGATCCAGGTCGCCATAGAGCTCTTCTTTTAATTAAGCTTTGTTTTTTATTGGGTGTACGCACATAGACACTCATTTTTGGCGCTTTTTTTGAGTCATTGAACTTGTGATCCCCTTTTTCCGCTAAAAAAGTAAGAATTTTAAAAAAAAAACTCTATGGTGACCTGCATCTTGGCGCGCTCTTTCCAACAAAAAAAAATTTAAATATATTTACCCAGCCTGGACTGAGAAATCCTTGTACCAAAATGAGCTATTTTTGATCCTTGTTTGGTTTATATATCTGTTAAATCCCAGTGAATCGAGCTGAAAATTTTACCACAGTCTCCCCACTTCCGCCGCAACATATGCTCAAAATTTCAGCCCATTTGAACGTTTCTGGGCTGAGATCTATTTTTGAGGGGGGAGGGGGGCTTAAGAGCCATTGCAGGTAAGCCACGACCGAAATGACAGAAGGATGCTCAATCGACCATCTCCGATTTC